TGGAAGCAAGATAGCCTCTTTAACAAATGATGCTGGAAAAACTTGCTTTGTACATGCCGAAAACTAAACTTGACCCAGATCTATCACCATGCACTAAGCTGAAGTAAAAATGGACTAAAGATCGAAACATTAAGGCAGACACTAAATCTCCTGGAAGAGAAAGTAGGAGGAACTCTTTAAGACATAGGGGTAGGCAAAGAGTTCATGAACAAAAATCAAATCACACGGGATAGAATTGAAAGTATTATCAACTATGACCTGATGTTATTGAGAAGTTTTTCACGTCAAAAGAAATTACCAACGAAATGAGAGATAACCCACAAATTGGAAAAAAAAAATCATGATAAATAAGTACTCAGACAAACGTCTGTTCTCTAGAATTTATAAAGAATTTAAAAACTCTAGGTCCCCTAAATTTAAAGACCCAGATCAGAAATGGGCATCTGAGATGAACACACACTTCTCAGAGGATGAAATTAAAGAAGCCAATAAATATATGAAAAAATGCTCCACGTCATTAGCCATCCGCAAAATGCAAATTAAAACAACATTGAGATAGCATCTCACCTCAAAATGAATGGCTATTGTGAAGAAATCAACCAACAACAAATGTTGGAGAGGGTGTGGGGGAAAAAAAAACCCTTCTCCACTGGTGGTGGGAATGTAGACTGGTGCAACCATTATGGAAATCAGTGTGGAGTCTCCTTGGAAATGTTGGACTGGAAATCCCATTTAAACCAGATATTCCCCTACTGGGAATTTTCCCAGAGGATCTGAAAACATCATATTATAGGGATATATGTGTGCCTATGTTTATAGCAGCACAATTTGTGCTAGCCAAATCTTGGAAGCAACCAAGATATCCATCACCTGAGGAATGGCTGAAAAAATGTGGTATTTTTACACAATGGAGTTTTACTCAATATAAAGAATGATAAACTCGAAGCCTTTATATTGAAGTGGATTCCACTTGAAAATGTACTCATAAGTGAAATAAACCAGACATACATGTGTAAATATCATATAGTTTCCCTAGTAGAAGAACTCAAATGAAGAAATTCAAATAGAAAGTTATAATACAAGTAAAAGGGAAGCAGGAACTCTAGGAGTAATTAAGAGAGGGAAAGGAGAAGAGCAAGGAAACATTACAGTGACAAGCCATGCAGTTATATGCAGAACATGGACAAAGCAATGATCCTGAGAATCTCTACAAGGTTTTTGAATCTAGTAGTTAATTGGAAAGATTCTCACCCTGACTAAACATATATACTGATACCTGTGAACAAAGCAACTGCACTGCAGGTTGTAATCGGTAGTAGTAGTTTCATGCTTGGAGTGCCTGTCATTCTGGTCTTCTGAATACTGGCTGCTTCTCATGACGTGCCAGTTGCTGCTGTGCTGTCTCTTGGGTAGATGATTGTTCAAAAAGAAAGAGGTGGTGAATAAAGGCAAGTGTCAGGATAAGGGATGTTCTGGGACTGTCCTGCTTCAAGGTTGTATATGGTTAGATTTTTGGACATATGTGTAAACATAAGAAGCATATAATTATTTATGCCTATTTTTTAAAATATATTCTAATTTTTAAATGTTTTTCATCAT